CCACTCCGCCACAGGGCCAGCCCTTGTGGTATCCATTCTAATTTCTCGTCTTTCATTTCTAATTTTATTTATTTGAGGCTTCTCTCTTTTTTTCTTAGTGAGTCTGGCTAAGGGTTTGTCAATTTTGTTTATCCTCTCAAAGAACCAGCTCCTTGTTTCATTGGTCTTTTTTTGCAGTCTTTTTTGTTTCAATTTCATTTATTTCTGCTCTAATTTTTATAATTTCCCTCCTTCTGCTGAGTTTGGGCTTTGTTTGTTCTTCTTTTTCTAATTCTGTTAGGTGTAGTTTAAGATTGTTGATTTGAGATTTTTCTTGTTTGTTAATGTAAGCTGGTATTGCTGTAAATTTCTCTCTTAGGACCTCTTTTGCTGCATCCCATAAGACTTGGTATGGTGTGTTTTCGTTCTTGTTTGTCTCCAAATATTTTTTGATTTCTCTCTTTATTTATTTGACAACCCATTGGTTGTTCAGTAGCATGTTGTTTAGTCTCCACAGTTTTGTTTCTTTTCCAGCTTTTTTCTTTTTTTTTCTTTTTTTTTTTTTAAAACTCTTTTTTTTTTTTTTAAAGATTTTATTTTTTCCTTTTTCTCCCCAAAGCCCCCCGGTACATAGTTGTGTATTCTTCGTTGTGGCATGTGGGACGCTGCCTCAGCGTGGTTTGATGAGCAGTGCCATGTCCGCGCCCAGGATTCGAACCAACGAAACACTGGGCCGCCTGCAGCGGAGCGCGCGAACTTAACCACTCGGCCACGGGGCCAGCCCCTCCAGCTTTTTTCTTGTAGTTGATTTCTAATTTCACCGCATTGTGGTCAGAAAAGATAGTGGATATGATTTCAATCTTCTTAAATTTACTGAGGTTTGCGTTGTTTCCCAATATATGGTCTATCCTTGAGAATGTTCCATGTGCTTTTCAGAAGAACGTGTATTCTGCTGTTTTTGGATGGAGTGCTCTCTACATATCTATTAAGTTCATCTGGTCTAGTTTTTTGTTTAAGTCCACTATCTCTCTGTTGACTTTTTGTCTGGATGTTCTATCCATTGATGTAAGTGGGGTGTTGAAGTCCCCTACTATTACTGTGTTGTCGTTGATATCTTCTTTTAGGTTTCTTAGTAGTTGCTTTATGTACTTTGGTGCTCCTGTGTTAGGTGCGTACATGTTTATAACTGTTATGTCTTCTTGGTGGAGGGTCCCTTTTATCATTATATACTGCCCCTCTATGTCTCTCATTACCGGATTTATCTTGAAACTTTGACAGAAGTATGGCAACACCTGCTTTCTTTTGTTTGCCATTAGCTTGAAGTATTGTCTTCCATCCCTTCACTCTGAGCCTATGTTTGTCTCTAGAGTTGAGGTGTGTTTTCTGGAGACAGCATACTTTTGGGTCTTGTTCTTTAATCCATCCTACCACTCTGTGTTTTTTGATTGGGGAATTCAATCCACTTACATTTAGAGCGGTTATTGATATCTGAGGGCTTAATACTGCCATCTTATCAGGTGTTTACCAGTTCTTCTGCATTTTCTTTGTTTCTTGTCCTGTGTATTTCGGACTACCTATTTGATTAGATAGTTTTCTCTGTTGGTTTTCTTCGTTTTCTGCTTGTTTATTGTAAATGTCTCTGTTCTATTTATTTGTTTAGTGGTTAACCCTTAGGTTTGTATACAAAATCTTGTAGCTGAGATAGTCCGTTTTCTGATAGCCTCTTATTTCCTTAGACTATACTGATTCCATCCCCTTTCTCTTCCCGTTCTAAGTTATCTTTGTCGTATCCTTTTCCATCTTGTGTTGTGATTATGGTTAAAAAGATGAGATCGTTTTTGTTTTGATGTTTTCCTTTTCTTTATCCTTGATGTTAAAGTTAAGTGTTAACTAACCTGATCTGATAGAGAGCTGCTGTTTTCTGATTATTACCTACCTATTCATCTCCTTGCTCAGGGCTTTGTAGCCCCTTTTCTATTTTTTTTTTTCAGGTAGGAAGGCCTTCTTGATGATTTCTTGTTGCGGGGGTTGGGGGTGATCTCTATCTGGGAAGGGTTTTTTTTTTTTTGAGGAAGATTAGTCCTGAGCTGACTCCTGCCAATCTTCCTCTTTTTGCTGAGGAAGACTGGCCCTGAGCTAACATCCATGCCCATCTTCCTCTACTTTCTGTGTGGGACACCTACCACAGGATGGCTTGCCAAGTGGTGTCATGTCCACACGGGATCCGAACAGGTGAACCCTGGGCCACTGAAGCAGAACGTGCGCACTTGACTGCTGTGCCACCAGGCCAGCCCCAGTCTGGGAAAGTTTTTATTTCTCCATCATATCTGAAGGAGATTTTTGCTGGATAGAGTATTCTTGGCTGAAAGTTTTTGTCTTTCAGGATTTTGAATATATCATTCCACTCTCTCCTAGCCTGTAAGGTTTCTACTGAGAAATCTGCTGAAAGCCTGATAGGGGTTCCTTTGTAAGTTATTTTTTCCTGCCTTGCTGCCTTTAGTATATTTTCTTTGTCCTTGACTTTTGCCAGCTTCATTCCTATATACCTTGGAGTGGGTCTTTTTACATTGACAAAGTTAGGAGATCTGGAGGCCTCTTTCATGTGGATTTCCAGCTCCCTTCCCAGGTTTGGGAAGTTCTCAGCTATTATTTCTTTGAACAACCTTTTTACTCTTTTTGCTCCATTCTCCTTCTCTTTCCCCTCTGGAATACCTATAATCCTTATGTTGCATTTCCTGACTGAATCAGATATTTGTCTCAGAGCTTCTTCATTTCTTTTTAGTCTTAGTTCTCTCTTCTTCCTCTGAAGCATTTCTATAGCACTATCCTCTAACTGGTTGATTCTCTCCTCCATATTGTCAGCTCTGTTCTTTAGAAAATCCAGATTTTTCTTTATTTCATCCACTGTGGTTTTCATTTCTAACATTCTGATGGGTTCTTTATGGTTTCAATCTCCTTTGTGAAGAAGCTCCTGAATTTGTTAGTTTATCCTTCTGTGTTTTCTTGTAACTCGTTGAGTTTTTTCTGTGATAGCTGTTTTAAATTCTTTGTCATTTAGCTTACGGATTTCTGTTCCTTCAGGATTGGTTTCTGGGTACGTGTCACTTTCCTTCTAGTCTGGAGCTTTAATATACCTACTCATACTGCTTGATGGGGTAGATTTTTGCTTCATCATAGTGTTCTTATCAGGTCACAGCTGCCACGTACTGTCACAGGATGGGGATCAGGCACTGTGTATTCTGGGTCTGGCATGAGCAGGGGCTCCCCAACTCCAGCCACTGACTGCGTTTCTCTCTGAGCAATTGATCGATGGCAGATCTGGAGCACCAGGCACGGGGGAGGGTACTCTCCTTCCTCAGTGCTTCCCTCTGCCCCTGCTTGTCGCTCTGTACAGAAAGGACTGTGCACTTTCCCTTTCTCTGCTGCCGCTGCCAAGCTCTCTGCACCGTGCTCTGGACGACTCTGGGGCTGTTCACTTTTCCCATCACCACTGCCAAGCTCTCTGCGCCTTGCTCCAGGTGAACCTAGGGCTGGAGTGCCTGCACCCTTCCCCCACCCCCGCTCCACTAACCTGCTCACTGCACTGTGCTCTGGATGATTCTGGGGCTGGAATACGGGCAGGGACAGGATGCCCTTTTCACCTGCGCACTTTGTGCTGCCATGGCCCATCTCTCTCCATGGAGCTCCTGGGGATCACCTTCCACTTCTTCCAGAGGATCCAGCCCCACCACCACCTTCAGGTGTATGGCTCTGTGGGTCTCCCAGACATCTTTTGTGATCTGTATATATCCTCTGTTGGTGTATGAATGTCCTTTTGGTTGTATCTTAGAGGGGAGAGTTCAAGGGGAGAGCTCACTCCACCATGATACTGATGTCACTCCTGCTTTTCTAAAATTTTTAAAAATTTCAATTGGAAGTTATTATTTTATTCTTTTATTATTTTTTGAAGAAAAGTGTACCTCCTGCTGCACTCTGCATGTTAACAGCTACTTATGGGAATTTCTGATGTTGCCCTTCAGAAATCCTTTTGTCTTTTCTTATTTGATGATTGGACCATCTGTTTCTAGCCTGGTGTAGTAGCTGGGAAAGAAAAAGTCTCAATGTTTTACTACATGATACCTTTCTAGCATTCTCCCTCATCCACCATCTCTTTCTCTCCCATCAGCAATAATAATTTTGCTTTTCTTTGAACTGTCATAACATTTGTACCTCTTTTATAAAACTTATCCCATATGGCTTTCTATAGCATTTCATTCCTTGAGATCAGGGACTCTATCATGTTATTATATTTTTCACTGTACTTGACACATAGCAAGTGTTTAATATTATTTAATGAATTATTGATTAGATACTAGAATTTCAAAGTGGGAAAGGACTTTATGAATCATCCTGCTCTAACTCTCTGATCTGTCTTCTGTCACACTACTTCATGGAAAGATATTAGATAAATTAGATCTAGTCATTAGATACCTGGTTATCTAGATATTAGATAAATTAGATATTAGTTCATTAAAATCCCTTCAAAATTGGCACTTTTATTGCTTTATGCTCTATCAATAATGTCATGATCAAGAGAAATGATATAGGCAATATTTACCAAATTATACTTTGATGTAATTTGCTTCTCGATTTCATTTAGGAAACAGAAGGAAGAGAAGAGAGAATGAATTTTTAAGTGCTCACTATATGTCATGTATTTTTTTCATTTCCTAGGTATGACTATTTCTGATTAAAACTTGTGATTTCTCTTTGTTTTTGTGAGAAGTTCATAAAAGTTCTTTTGGTTTTTATTGTTTTCTGTAGTGGATTTTCTAAAATAACAAAGATTAATGAGTGTCATTTAATAAGTAAGGCTAGTGCTTCTTTTCCCCTCTTTCAGAAAGTATAGATTTATAAATTCTTATCTTGTAAATATTATAGAAACACGTTTCTCTAAGAAATTTAAATGTTTGGCTGCATGATCTCATAATCTTGGAGACATATTTTAATATTGCTTCATGATATCAGAAATCTGTTTTTAGCTGGCAAGCTATGAGAGCCAGATTGCTAAGCTACGATCCGAGGTTGAAAAAGGAGAGGCATTGCGACAAAGTCTGGAATATGACCTGGCCGTGGCTAGAAAGGAAGCTGGTCTTGGAAGACGGGCTGTTGAAGAGCGATTAGCTGAGGCACATAGGATCCAAGAAAAACTCTGTGGTAAGACTATTTCCATTTCTTCCTGTGTTTAGGGTTGTAACCTCATTGTGTATCATTGCTTGTTGTTGTGTATACATTCCATATAGGGTTAGAGGTAGGGTTTTGATTCATTGACTGCCCTTTGATGGACAGACTTCTGGGTGAGTATAAAGTCTTCTGGCAATTCTGTGAACTTTCATCTACTTTAAAATAATTTTTTTTATGTTGTGCATGTATGGAAAAATTCCGTTAATCTTTTTTAGAGCGCTTATTCCAGAATGAACAGCAGAATCATATTGAAATTTTCTTTTTTTTGCTGAGGACGCTCAGCCCTGAGCTAACATTTGTTGCCAGTCCTCCTCTTTTTTTCCTTGAGGGAGATTAACCCTGAGCTAACATCTGTGCCAGTCGTCCTCCACTTTATATGTGGGTTGCTGCCACAGCATGGCTGATGAGTGGTATAGGTTTGCACCTGGGATCTGAACCTGTGAACCTGGGCTGCTGAAGTGGAGCACGCCAGACTTTACTACACCATGGGGCGGGCCCCTCGTTGAGATTTTTTAAAAAAACGTTTATCCTAGGCCTCCTATCAGACCTAGTCTGATATAGTCTGGATTAGAATCTCTAACTTGAGAATCAGTATGGTCAAGGAGCACTGCAAGCAATTTTGTGGGTGAGCCAGGTTTAGGAACCACTGGGTGGGGCCTGGGAAAGAAAAAGTCACTGGATTTAATCCTCAAAAGTTATCTGTTATATAGCATCAGAACATTTTAAAACTTTTTATTTAAGTATAGTATATATAAAGACATGTGCCTGGATAAGTGTACAACTCATAATAAGCACCCAGATCATGGAACCAAGATCTGGAAACAGAAATCCCAGAAAATTATCAGAATGGATAACTACTATCTTGATTTTTAATAGTAAGGATTAATTTTGCCTCTCTTTTGTACTTTATATAAATGGAATCATATGGTATGGACTCTTTTGTATCTGGCTTCTTTCCTTCAACATTGTGTTTGTATGTTCACCCATGTTGAGTTTAGTATTACATTGTGTGAACATATCACACTTATATTTATCTATTTCTATGATGGGCATTTGGGTAGTGTCCAGTTTTTGGTTAAGAATAATGTTGCTGTGAATACTCTTATACACAGTAGGTTTGAATTGAGAACACTGAACATGAATTCAGAAGATTTAGATTTAGGTCCTGGTTTTACCATTTACTTACTGATATTTGAACCTAGGTTATTTTAAGGATGAAATGAGAAAATGAAAGTGCTCCGTTAACTGCACGGGGCTAAACAAATGTTATTATTATTGTAAAGGTTACAGTCAGTTTTGACCAACTGTCTTGGGTTATTGCCTTTGGTGAGAAGTATTTTTGATTAACTGTAGCATTTAATAACTACACCACTACCTGGAACTTAGGGATATAAGAATTGAAAGGCACTAGATATACAAGTTAATGACTTTCATTTAATTTTGAGGAAATTGAAGTCCAGGGAAAATGGGAAGTTACTTGCCCAAAGTCAAGTGATTTTAGCAGACACTTTACAGAGGAAGATAGAATGGCCATTAATTGCATCAAAAATGGCTAACCTCACTTATCAGGGAACTGCAAGTTAAAACCACAGTGACTGTCACAACATCCCCATCAGATGGCTCTAATTGAAAAGACTGTCAATACCAAATGTTGGTGAGGATGTAGAGGAACTGGAGCTCCTATACTACTTTGTTAGTGGGAGAGTAAAATGATGGAAGTACTTTGGGGAAAAAACTGGCATATTCTTTTAAAATGAACATCATTTATCCTATGACCCAGCAGTTTTACTCTTTGGTATTTCCCCCCAAGAAACATTTGTCCACAATTGTCTAGACTTGTATAAGAATTTCATAGCAACTCCATTCATGACAGCCCCAAAGTGGAAAAAAACTCTGAATGTCCATTGACAAGAAAATGAAGAAACAATTTATGTTATATTCATACAATGAAATACTACTCAGCACTAAAAATGAACCAACTACTGATACATGCAATAACATGAATGAATCTCAAAAACTTTATGCTGAGTGGAACTTTACAGAGACGAGGACATCCTGTATGATTCTATTTATATGAAGTTCTAGGACAGAAAAAACTAATTGTTTGTGAAATAAATCAGAATATTGGTTGCCTCTGGGATGGGTCGTCAGTGAGGATTGAGTGGGAAAAGGTATGAGGAAACTTTTTGGATTGAAGAAAATATTCTATATTTTGATAGGGCTTCATGAGTGTATGCATTTTGCAAATCTCTTTGAATGGTACACTTAAGATCTGTGCATCTTATGATCTGTAAATTTTACATGCAAGAAAAGTAAAACTATATTGACTTCTAGTTATTGATAGGAATACTGAGTTATTTAGGAATGAAATGTACTTTATTGCAACTTGCTTTGAAATGCATAAAAAAGTATGATGGTCTAATGAATGGATAAATGAATGGATGCATGGATAGATGGATGAATGTCTGATAAAGCAAAAATAGTAAAATCTTAAAAATCATAGAGTCTAGTCTGGGTTTATGGGTATTCACTGTATAATACTTTCAACTTTCTGTATTTTTGAAAATTTTTATGATAAAATGTTGAGGGTAAAATAAAAAACAACCTAATGGAGTTGTGGGATATTCAAAGGGATAATCCTATAACGATTGAGATAATAGGAGATGTGACAACAGAGAAAAGTTTGGAAGCTGGAAAGCAAATGGATGAGGGATAACTGATTTAGCAGACTTGAGATGTCAGAATCCTAAGCCAGGAGTGGGGAAAGTTGGCAGATAACTTGTTAGATAGTCAAAGGCTCATGAACTGGAAGCACCAGATACCTTTGGAATTAGGAATTAGAACTGTAGTAGTGGGTGAAATAAAGAGGGTTACATGAAAGCTGTTGGCTCTAGAGGCAGTTAGATTCTTAGATCCCCTTCTCAAGAGCATGCTACTCTGGGATTACTCCCACTTCCTAGGAGGAAGGCTTAGTTTCTGGAGATGATAAAATAGAGGGTCTCCAGAGTGGCAAATGCAGGAAGATGGCATACTCAATGCTGAATATTGAGGAACTGTTCTTTCTGGCTTCCTTTTTCTGTTGGCTTCCCCAAAAGCTAGCACCCAGATTTCTACAGTCCAGGTGGGAGCTTGGAAGACTCTTCTGTAGGTCAACTGACCAAGCCAAGAGGAAAAACATAATGATACCGATGTTGAGGATCTCCTAATAAATGGGCCAACCAGGTCCTCCTCCAGTGAAGACCACCATTGCCAAGCTCCACCCTCAAGCTCAGAATCTAGGTGGTGGGTAAATGGGTGTATATAAGGTGTGTCAGCCTTATAGTTACTCTTAGTTGAGAGCACACAACCAAGAATTACCAGATACTTGAGGAAAGCCTCTAAAGTGGAGAGAAAAAAATTAACTTGGAAGAACCAGAAACTCTGCAGGGAGAAGATTTAACAAGTAAGTAGTATTAATATCCTCAGAGCTAGAAGAGAATATCCATGATGCAAGAACCAGATGCTATATAAAAAGGGAAGCTCTTAGAAATTAAAATATGAAATCAGAAATGAAAAATGTCAGTAGAAGTATTGGAAGATAAAGATGGAAGAAATCTCCCAGAAATTAGAGTAAAAAAGACAGAAGTGGAAAAATAGAAGAGAAAAGACAAAAAATTTTGAGGAACAGTCTGAATAATAGGGAATATTGAAAGAAAAAGATGAGAGAGAAAACAGAGAGGGATAAGTCATCAATTAAATTATGTAAGAAAACATCTTAGAACTCAGGTTCTGAGTTGCCAGATTAAAAGGGCCCATTGAGTATTCACCACTATGGAAGGACATAGACCCACCTGAAGGCATAGCATTATGAATTTCAGAAAAAATAGAGACAAAGAGAAGACCCTAAAGCTTTCAAGAAGAAGAAAAAAGAAAAATGGGCCACATGCAAAGAAACAGGAATCAAAACGGCCTCAAACTTCTTGCTGCAATACTGGATGCTAGACCATGGAATGATGCTTTGTAGAGAGGGCAACTGGATGGGAGGGAGACTTTTTGTGCCTTTTATGCCTATGACTTTTGAACTTTTTGAATAATAAGAATAATTTAAGAATAATACTACTAATGGTGGCATTTTTGTTTGTTTAACAAGTGTGTTTGTATATATCTCCTCATTTTGTCTTCATGACAACTTAACTAGGAGGGATTCTCTTCTCAGTGAGGGTTAGAGAGTCAGAGAGGTTTAAGCTGGTGGTGGGTGATGGAGCCGGACCTGGAAGCCTTTGATTACTTCTTTTCTAGTTGCTGAAACAGAGCAGCAGCCGAAGTGAGTTCCGAGGTGTTGGTTATTGTTGGGGTAATACTAGGATGAGAGGTCCTTTGAGCCTAGCTTGGGGGAGTGAATAACTTTAGTTCTAAGGGTTGAAGCAGTGGTTCCCAGCCTCAGTGTTGTGACAGTCTCGTGGGTAAAGGTGTGTCACAACTAATTTGTAGCCAGTGGTCAAATATCAAAGTTTGTAATCTGTGCTTAATGAAAGTAGCAGTATAAGTCACAGTCTTTTTAAAAAGACATTTGATTTATTTTCTTGAATAGGAGAAAAAGCAGTAGAGTTGCTACGGTGCTAGAGGGGCTCCTACTTGGGCGTGCCTCTAGGAGTATGTCATACTTCTACGGTGCTAGAGGGGCACCTACTTGGGCATACCTCTAGGAGTATGTCATACTTCTACTGTACTAGAGGGGCTCCTACTTGGGCATACCTCTAGGAGTATGTCATACTTCTACTGTACTAGAGGGGCTCCTACTTGGGCATACCTCTAGGAGTATGTCATACTTCTACTGTGCTAGAGGGGCTCCTACTTGGGCATACCTCTAGGAGTATGTCATACTTCTACTGTACTAGAGGGGCTCCTACTTGGGCGTGCCTCTAGGAGTATGCCATACTTCTACTGTGCTAGAGGGGCACCTACTTGGGCATGCATCTAGGAGTATGTCATACTTCTACTGTACTAGAGGGGCTCCTACTTGGGCGTGCCTCTAGGAGTATGTCATACTTCTACTGTGCTAGAGGGGCACCTACTTGGGCATACCTCTAGGAGTATGTCATACTTCTACTGTACTAGAGGGGCACCTACTTGGGCATACCTCTAGGAGTATGTCATACTTCTACTGTACTAGAGGGGCACCTACTTGGGCATACCTCTAGGAGTATGTCATACTTCTACTATACTAGAGGGGCTCCTACTTGGGCGTGCCTCTAGGAGTATGTCATACTTCTACTGTACTAGAGGGGCACCTACTTGGGCGTGCCTCTAGGAGTATGCCATACTTCTACTGTGCTAGAGGGGCACCTACTTGGGCATACCTCTAGGAGTATGTCATACTTCTACTATACTAGAGGGGCACCTACTTGGGCGTGCCTCTAGGAGTATGCCATACTTCTACTGTGCTAGAGGGTCACCTACTTGGGCATACCTCTAGGAGTATGTCATACTTCTACTATACTAGAGGGGCATCTACTTGGGCGTGCCTCTAGGAGTATGTCATACTTCTACTGTGCTAGAGGGGCTCCTACTTGGGCGTGCCTCTAGGAGTATGTCATACTTCTACTGTGCTAGAGGGGCTCCTACTTGGGCGTGCCTCTAGGAGTATGTCATACTTCTACTGTACTAGAGGGGCACCTACTTGGGTGTGCCTCTAGGAATATGTCATGCCGTTTCATGGCAAAGTCATCTTTGTCTGGAGGAAAGAGGAGATTGAGATATTACAGAATAGATTGGTTCTGGAACAGTGAGCTTTTCAAAAGTTTACTGGTATGAAGAGGTTAAATGTTTTGTCCTAAGATCACGCTGTAAGTGGAATCAGCTCTAATGCCTAGGTTTTTGGTTTTTATGTTTTCTTAATGGTTTTTTGTTTTTATGGTTATAGATATACCTATTACTCTTTTATATTTTTAATAGCTCAGAATACAGAACTTCAAGGAAAGGCAAATGAGATCGAGAAAGTGTTCCAGACTTCCCAGCAAAAATGGAAAGAAGAGTGCAGAAGATTTGAACGTGATTTGGAGGAAAGAGACAATATAATTCAAAATTGCAATCGAGAATATGATTTACTTGTGAAAGAAAAAAGCAGACTAGAGAAAACTCTACAGGTAAAATATTTTTTATAAAGGAATTTTGCTATATATGCTATTCATTGAGATGTGTTATACGTTATTTGAAGTTATCCTTGGAAAGGAAAACAGCTACCAGAAAGGAAAAAAAGTCTGATTTCCTTCTTTCCTACCTTGGTCCTTCCTTGTTCCTTCCTTCCTTCTTCCTTCTTTACTTCCTTCCTTCCTTCTTTCTTTCCTTCCTCCCTCCCTCGCTCTCTTTCTCCCTCCTTCCCTTCCTTCCCTCCATACCTCCCTTCCTCTCTTCTTTACTTTTTAGAGGCATTCTTGCTGATCTCTTTTGTAATATGCTTTAGTAATATATTAATATATATATTCTTTATTTTTGTGAAAAACAATTTGAGATCTCTGATCAAAATAAAAAAAAAATCCCAAGCCAGCCCCAGTGGCCTAGTGGTTAAGTTTGGCGTGTGCCGCTTTGGTGACCCCGGTTCGGTTCCTGGGTACAGACCTACACGTCAGTGGCTGTGCTGTGGCAGTGCCTTACATACAAAAAAGAGGAAGCTTGGCTAGCTCAGGGTGAATCTTCCTCAGCAAAGATAAATAAATACAAAACTCCAAAACATTTATATGAGCCTATTACAAGAACCTACTGCCCCTTTGGTCCAGCAGCATGAAAATTTGGAATTTTAGAAATAAAGGCTCTAGATTTTCATCTGAATATACAATAAATATAGAAAAATATTTATATATCTGATGTAAGCTTCATTATCTGTATAGAACACATTCTATATAGATATGATGTGTAAAATTTTGATGACCTTTTACTAAAATTATTGTGAGCTATTTATTCTCCCATTTTTTGTTCCTTTTTACTCTCTAAAGTATAGTCTAAAGTTAAAAGTGCCAACAGCTTAGAAGATAGATTTTGACTTGCCTATATTTGCCATTTCTTTGAAGTATCAGTTTAAAGTAAGAAAAATACTTGATAAAAATGCTCTCCATTTACCACTGGTTACTTTTTTTTTTTTGAGGGAGATTATCCCTGAGCTAACTGCTGCCAATCCTCCTCTTTTTGGTGAGGAAGACTGGCCCTGAGCTAACATCCACGCCCATCTTCCTCTACTTTATATGTGGGACACCTGCCACAGCATGGCTTGCCAAGCAGTGCCATGTCCGCACCTGGGATCCGAACCAGTGAACTCCCGGCCGCTGAGAAGCGGAACGTGCTCACTTAACCATTGTGCCACCGGCTGGCCCCTACCACTGGTTACTTTTGATTTCCTCCACGTCAATAGTCATAGTTTGTGTCTCTTGCTTCCTACCATGTTCCTAGGCCTAGAACAATGCCTGGCATACACAGGGGCTCCATAGTATTTGAATGAGGGAAGTTTAGGTGGCAATGAGTGCTACAAGTCCCTGGGTGGCCCTGTGTAACCTTCCCACATAAAATGTCTTGGTGCTAAGGGGGAAGAAGGCCAGTGGTGGTGGCATTCCTTACAGTCCATCAGCCTGCACCTCAAGTTATAAGATCTTGATGTGATCTCGATCAGCTGTTTGGTAGGAGAATTCTGATTTTCCGCTGTGGGCTTTGACCTGATCTGTACAGAAACCGTTGGGGACTTGGGGTATAATATGAGTCATTATTTAGCCCTAGGGTGTGGGGAGAAAGCCTCAAGGCTCTTTGTGATGGCTTTCCTTAGTGAAAGTTCTGAGGGCAATCTTTATTATGCAGATGACCTACACTACTGGACACAGAAGCTTTCCCTCTCTCATAGAAACCACAGAATCTTTCTCCTTGTGTTAATAGGGACTTAATTTTAAACCCTATAGGTTAGAAAATTGGGCTTCTCAGGAAACCAGCGTTTTATATTTTTGAGATTTTTAACCAAATTAGATCTTGTACATGTAGTACAACTAGGAAAATCCCAAAAGAAAAGCCTCTTGCAAATGTTGTTTATCTGTAGAACTCGAAATTACAGTCCAATCCTAAAATTTTTTTGACTTTTCAAATTTTTAACATTCTAGAGTTTTCTTATCCTAATTTGTTACACAGAACTCCTTCCTCCTCCCCTTTTGCAGATAGTGTTCTCTGTCAGATTTATATATAAATTATCAGAGATAATTCAAACAGCTTGTTCATATGTAATTAGAGCTTTCCACATATCTACTTTACATATAGATTACATATAATCTACTTCGTTTTTGTTTCTTTATCATATCGTAGAAGTTAAATTTTTTAGAAAAATTGGGTTAAATATATGTCTATATGTATATATATGTATGTATAAAATGTTGCTTAAATTAAAAGGGTAGCCATAGTTTCTTATTCAGATGTACATTCTGATGATCAAAATATAATAGTTCTGGGGCCGGCCCCATGGCCGAGAGATTAAGTTCTTGTGCTCCGCTTTGGCAGCCCAGGGTTTCCCTGGTTTGGATCTAGGGTGCGGAGATGGCACTGCTCATCAAGCCATGCTGAGGTGGCATCCCACATGTCACAGCTGGAAGGACCCACAACTAAAATATACAACTATGTACGAGGGACTTTGGGGAGAAAAAGGAAAAAATAAAATCTTCAAAAAAAAGTTCTATTAATGATTTTAACATAAATATAATGAATTTTAATAGTCTATAGGTAAGGTGAGCCCTTTGTACATTTAAATTGGGGATGAAGGAAGGAAGATAACTTTTATTGATCTCATAGTAAAGCAAGATTTTATTCATATAAAGGAAGCGTTGGAAAAACATCAGCAGGAGAAGAATGAGATGGAGTCCCATGTCAGGGAGACAGCACTGGAGGAGTTTAGATTACAAGCAGAGCAATGGGAAGCAGAAAGAAGAGAGTTACAATTTATAGTACAGGTATTTTAAAAATAGTACTTAACTTCCTTAAATAAGTTTTTTTAAATGCTTGTGGTATTAAAAATTACGTTAGTGCAATAATTGCCTAGCTTACTCAGGGTGAAAATAATTCCTATGTGTCTCTGGTCTCCAGAAGGCCTGTTTCATTTGTGGTTACATGACAATATGGGCAACTGTTACCAACAGATACTATTAGAATCAGAGTTGGGTTGACTTCCTTTCCATAAGTTATGTGATTCTGAGAGGAACAGATATACATTTGGTATTTTATTTTTCCAATTTAAAATATGAGACTGTTAGCAGTCTTTAATAGCATAGAGAAATAGAATAATTGGATTTTGGATATTAAGGGATGCTTATAAATCATATCGTGTAGTCATTTTTGAACTCTTTTTAAGAAGTGCAAATTCTTAATCATGTTGTATTAAACCCTTTCCTCCCAACACACAGAATCCTCAAGGCTTCAAATAGTCCAGTTTGAAAATCACTGATTACATCCAACTCCCGTTATAGATGAGCACATGGAGATTTATGACTTACTCAAATCACAGACTGAGTGATTAATATGGGGAAGGACTACAAGTCGCCAGATTCTTGCTCTGGTTTACTTTGCGTTTTTTCAGCAGATTATATATAAAACATTTTGAAGGAGAGATAGAAGTTCAAACTATTAATTCATTAACCAACTAACTTAAAATTTCAAAATAATTTTTCATCGTTTCTTCTATTACTTATTTTGTGAAAAGAAAAGCATGTTTTCTACCCACAATGACAAATTGAAATATAGTCTTTATATAAATGTCAAGGATAAGCATTTTTCACAGAATGAAAAATATCTATCTAAAATAAATTTTGGAGTAGCTTTGTGTTAGAAACAACTTCATAAGATGAAGGCGACCAAAAACGGACAGAGAATAGGAGGCACTCTATTTCTTTAAGAGTGAAATCTGGCAGTAAACAGTGAAATACTGAATTTATGGTGTATGTAAGTATTCAGAATACCAAGAAAGCCACAGCTTTCCCAAACCTTTGGTCTTTGGGCAATGCTTTTCTTCCCAGTGCCTCCCTTTGTAGAATCTAGAAAGATGTAGCAATCACTCTTTAGACCTCTTGATATTCTTAGATAGTCTGTAATTTGTGTCATTAGTTAGTTCTCTCATTCATTCATTTATTCATTCCCTAAGTACTTACTGAGTTCCTGCTGTGGGTACTGAGGATATAAAATTGATTAAGATGTGATTTCTGTCCTAGAAGATCTTTTAACAGAGAGAGACATGTAAAGACAGGAAATATATTGTTTAATATAGTAACATTTCGAAGAAAATGCTATGGGACCGTAAAAGAGAAATTGATCAACTGTCTTGGAGATTGGGGAAAAATCGTCACAGAGCAGATGACATTTGAGCTGTTGTTGCTAATTCTCTTAAAGGTCACAAGGAACAAACAAGCAAACACTATGAAATGAAAATAACCCCTTCATTTCTAAACACTCAGAAATCTCCAGCGCCACCAGTTAGACGCCTGAAACTTGTAATACTGTTCAGAGACCTATATTTAAATGTGTGGATGATGTGATTTTGGTGCAGTTTCCTGGTCAATCCTATAAATATCAGATGAAACTTATGTGATTATACCAGATTTTATATTATAAAGTACTAAAATAATTTAAAATTCCGCACCAGTCTTTAATTATTATGTGTGGAGAATAGGAGAATATATTCCTTAGTTACTACCACCTTTTGTGAGATATATTTTATTGTATTTTATAACTGAAATGTTCAGAGCTCTGTCTCTCAATTTCTTGTCCTTTTTATATTAACAAAAGAAAACTGATTTTCCTTTTATAAAGCAAGCTTAAGAAACTATTTATATAAAAGATCTTTTTTCAAACAACTTGAGGGATAGATTGAAATTCTCTTCTCTCTTGGCTGCTAATGGGTTTAGGTTTCTATCCTGTAATTGGGGGTTTGTATCACATAGCGTTCTCTATGTAGATCTCTAAGGGAATTCAGTTTTTAAAATAAATTTTTAAAAAACCTAAGTGAAACCCCATCTTTAACAGACAAAGCTGGTGTAATATTTCTCTCATCTGGGCTTTAGAATTCAGACCTGCTGTAAAAAGAAAATCTCAATTTTATGCCATCTCTCCTTTCTTTACTAGTAATTAAAGTGCTAAATAGAGGTGTACTTCTCTGGAATATTACTGAGAATTCTCAGTGGAGTTACCGCAAAAGTTTTTAAGAAAGTGTTTCTCATTTTTTAAAATGCATACCCTCTTTTGATAAACATAAAAATTCCGTATTGGGGCCAGCCTGTGGCTGAGTGGTTAAAGTTCTACGTGCTCCGCTGCAGCCTCCTGGATTTGTGGGTTCAGATCCCGGGTGCGGACCTACTCCAACTGTCAGCCATGCTGTGGAGGCGTCCCACATACGAAACGGAGGAAGATTGGCGCAGAAGTTAGCTCAGGGCTAATCTTCCTCAAGAGAAAAAAGAGGAAGATTGCCAAGGGATGTTAGCTCAGGGTGAATCTTCCTCACCAAAAAAAAAAAAAGAATTTTCTTTTTTATCTCTATTTATTTAAATTTTTTATTTGAAATGAACATTTGTTTTGTTCTTATTTGTTTTTTCTCATTCCTGCAATAGCAATGTGCACTTTGAGGGTGCTTATTTGCCATAAGCTTTTCTGTGGTTGGCTGTGTGGGATATACAGTGGTAAAGCTTTGTTTTTAAACTAGCGTACCCTTTCCTTTGTCACTTTTTCCAGTTCATTTCAATGTATGATCTATCAGTAATATTGAAAGCATTTAGAAGATGAATGTATGTTTTTTGTATTTACTTCATTTTCAACATTGTATCACTCAACCAGGGAATAAAATGATCCCTTCCTCATTCATTGACTAAATTTGGTTTATGTTTCTAGTGATTAGGGAGCAGGAGAGCTGGTGATGGCAAAGAGCATGGGAATTGTAGATGGAAAATAATACCGTAAACTAAAGAAAGAGGAGGAAGAGTGGAGAAGCAGTAGGGAAGGTATGGGACCAGGCTTAGGCATAGGTGGGCTGTGTGATAAGACAGCTATTAGCGGTTGGGGTGCGACATGACCTGGTAAGCACAATTATGCTCTGGGGACAGCTTGCAGGGAGTTCCATGAAAAGGAAGTATTTCAGAAGTTTGCCTTAGATGATCTAGGGCAGCAAGGAGCATTTCTTTCTAGTTTCCTGGGAAACTGCTGGTGCCCTGTGTAAGCAAATGGCATAGAAAGTGACACTGGCACTGGTCCTGCTTGTTGTTACCAAACAGGAAATATCTTAATATTCAATTTACAAAATTACTATTTATTGTGCTCATTGTAAAAATGCCTCTAATTTTGGAAAATTTAAAAGCAGAAAGTGAGGGTTTTGCCCTCTCCCCCTGGAATCCCACTCCTCATCTGAGAGTATATGAACATATATTAATGTATTTACATAAATGAAATTGTAAGCCTCTGTAATATTTGGTGTCCGTCTTTTGATGTCCTTACAGTATTCTTGTAGTGTTTTCACGGTTTTCTGTCATTTGCAAACTCCTAATGTATTTAAGGAATTCCTTATTCATGGACATTTTATTTCCTTCAAAATTTTTTGTTCTAGTTAAAAATGGTTCACTAACATTCTTGTCTGTATCTTTGAGCTGTTGTACAAGTGATTAGCTGTGTAAATGTCTAGAAGTCTAATTGCTTGGTCTGCAAGCTTATGGATATACAATTATGATAGGTATTCCACAAAGTTAGTACCAGTTTCTACTCTACAGCAGCAAACACTATGTTTGACCACAGAGCTCTGCTGGCTTTGGGGATTGAGAGACGGGGAGCTTGTTCTGCCTCTTTCGGGAGATAATGATGTACTAGTTAAAGTTGGGACTAACCATGCTGATATATTTCATAAGTTAGGAAGGAGGAGTACTTTAGCTCTGATGTGTTTCTAATTCTATAATTCTTTAGACTTGAAACCATGTTTTGGAGTGTGAGAAATGTTGTTTATATGAGTACATATAAAGAATTGTGTTTTTGGGCTATGTTTCTGGAAGATGTGGAAAGAAAGCAAGTTCATTTTCTAATAAAACAATGTGGTTTCCTGTGATATTAAATGCCAGTTCAAAAACAAGCCTCGTTTTAAAATATTTTAAGTTCAACACCTCCCTCTAGTGGAAAAAAGAAAAACTCCCTCAGTTTCCACTGGCCTTAATATGATTTTATTTGACACACACACAAACACACAAACACACACACACTCTTACTTTTTCACTATAAGGATCCAGGTAGCTTTTGGTTTGATTGGAAAATAAATTCTGTGACAAAAATTGTAAAAATTTATTTGGGACGAAGCAAATTAATCTTGATGTATAACTGCATGGGGTATTTTATAGTTCTTTTGGGATTTTCTTGTATGTTATAATGCACCCAGACTTGAATTGTGTTGATAAAACCATGAACTTAAAGTAAATATTTGAAAATTAAAAAACATTAATGTTAATATTGTATATAATATTAATAAAATTAATATTAATATTGATATAACCAATACCAGTATAACCAACCACTACCATTAATAATGCCAATACTTACTGTCTGGACCATGTTAGTGTTTGACATATTTGATTCAGAATTACAAACAAACAGTAAATTGTTATATCATTAAAGACTGACTATTCTGAATTACTTCACTGTCCTACCACCGCCCCACCCCAAGAGATAACCATCATCCTGAAGTTGGTGTTTAATTTTCTCTCTGTTATACGTTGATAGTATATTACATTATTTTAATATTTTGTGTGTTTTAATGAGGTACATAGAGTATCATATGGTATGCATCTTTGTCCAGCTTGTCTTTTTCACCTGTATTTTGGAGATTTATCTAAGTTATTAAACTAACTCTGGCTCATTCAGTTTAACTGCTATATTTTAACCTGTACATATACCATAATTAATTTACCCATTACCCGATAGATTGAGAGCTAAGTTC